GAAGAATGCATTTTTTTAAGTCTGTGATGCATCATGAAGGACCTGGAAAGTTATTTACTTATTTAATCTTTTTTAATGTCCCCCCCCCCAAAAAAAGAGAAAAAATTATTTTCTTAACTGTCTTAATTTACATTTATGCAAATGTTCTCTTATGAAAGCTAAACAATTTTGTCATCAGGGTACAAAAGTTAATGCACGGTCAAAATGTTAAGTAGTTTATTTCTTCTACTCTAAAAACCTAAGGTTTAAAATGTTTCCTTATAATTTCTATTTATCTTAAGATAAAATACTGTGGGAGAAAGATGTGGCAGTTTGCTTCTTAAAAGATTTACAGCTTGGAAACCCTAAGGGGCAGTTCTACTCTGTCCTATAGGGTTGCTATGAGTTGGAATAAAATTCTACCTCCAATGTTCTTTTCTTTTTAAATCACAGTTTTTAAATCTACAGGTTTTTTCTTGTGCAAGATTGTTTTATGATTTTTATTTAGCTACATTTCATTTGCTCCCCCTGACAGAAATCCAGTGTGAGACGAAGTTTGGAGATAATTTGATACCCTCTCCCTCTGGTGGTATAGTGGTTATTGCATTTGGCTGCACCAAAAGGTTGGTGGTTCGAACTCACCAGCTTGCTCCATGGCAGAAAAATGCAGCAGTCTGATTCCATAAAGATTTACAGCCTTGGAAACCCAATCAGGTTGCTATGGATTAGAAATGACTCAATGACAGTGATTTTTGTTTTGTTTTGTTTTCTCCCTTGACTGAAAGAAGGTCTAAGGCCCACAGAAGTTCAATGATACACAGCTGAGGAATACAACAGCCAAACTAAAAACCGACACTAGGGTACTTTATTGCTTCTTCAGACTCATTTTCATTTCAATTTCATATTCATAAACTAGAAGCAAAAATTTTCTAATGCTAAACAGCAGTGTGTATTAAATGAAGTGTTCTACTTGGTGCTTAAATATCTCTCATCAAGACGTCCCCCTCATCTTTCTACTGACATGATGCTACACCAGAATTTGGCCTTGTGTGGCTGGAATACAACTGTAGAACCTTGGCCGCTATTTTCCCAGCTCAGCCACAACTCAACTGAAGTATAAATGCAAAGAATCAAATATCTTAACACATGCATCTATTTCTAGGCAACACTAGAACTAAACGTCAGTTTTCACTTTCTGAAATGATTATACTTTTATCAGCCTAGGTTTGACTAAGAAATTAAGCCTAGCATTTTGGGACATTCCTTCTGAATGTTAGAAAGGATCCAACTGGATCTTTATTGACATGAGTAGAATAGATTCCGCTTTAGGATAAAAAAAAAAAAAAAAAAAAATAGTCTCTATTTGAATTACATTCTTTAGGTCACCAGGATATCCTTCAGTACCTTTGATTTACAGAACTGTAAGTTCCTTGAGGGCAAAGGCACTTTCTTATCCCACCCTCTCCACAAGCCTACCAGAGTTGCTCAGCCAGCACCAAGCAAGCTGTGTCATAATGTGATAAGAACTGATGAAAAGAGTCTCCAGAGACTAGAAGGAGCAGCTGTAACCAACTCACTAAAAGCTTTATGCTGATCCTGAAATGTCCCAGCTATAGACAAAATTGTATGGTTATTTACAGAACTTTAATAAGGAAAATAGTAAGTTTAAATTTAAACTTTAAAGTAAAATATAGTAAGTTTAAATTTCCCTAAGGCGCTAGGGTTTCACATCTGAGAAAGAAAACAGTATCTACACAAGGACATGGTATTGCAAATACCAAAGAAAATATTGTTGGAATATAACTGTGTACAGTAAAAATTTACGTTCTTCATACTTCTACGAGGAAACAAAGAAGTGGGAGAGAAAAACAAAACAAAAAACTAAAAGTGAAAAGGTCTCAAAAAGAATCCCCTGTACCATTTCTAACAGTGGTCAAAAGCTGAGGCTTCAAGGGCTTTGCCATTTCTTATGAGAAACTCTAGTAAGAAAAATACAATGACTCACTTCATAATAATGCCTTTTCTCCCCCAAAGTACACATCACAATTCCCACATCCATAGCACATGGGCACTCAGTGCAGAGCTATTGCAACATGGAGCATCTCCCTGCACCAACGTGCCTGAGTAGAGGAGGGAAATGGGAACAGCCCTCCCTGGTGTGGCATTAGGGGACAGCATGCTGCCCTGGGTCTGCCTCCCAAGGAAAGGGGTTTGCACTCTCTTTGTTCTGGTGGATCTGGAACAGCGGTTCTTTTGTGCCACCACCTTTAAGACCTGGGAGTTTACAGCTGGCTTCCTTGTCAACAGGCTGAAAGAATCCCCTGGCAGAGTAGTCCTGAATAGGCATGCCCAGATTTCCTAACAAATTGTCACTTACACACTGAGGATCCAAAAAGAAACAAAAGGATGAAGAAAGGAATCTGTGCTACTCAAAGCAACAGCACTAGTGGATAAAGAAAAGGAAATGCTAGGGTGCTCGCTCACTCTCTGACCACAGGGAGTTAAGCGAACAGTTAGAAGAAAATAACTCAAGTTTATTGCCAAAGAACTAAGTCCAATATCACTACTCAGGGAACCAATTTCCCAGGTCTGGGCCAGTCAGATGTTGCTTGAGAATCGCTACCAGGAGAAAATAAGATGGCTTCTGTCCTTTGATGCATGTCAATGTAAACTGGTAAAATAATTAAAAGCCTTAGGTTTAAGAAATAATTACGAAAGCCTGACATTCCTGGCTTTGGACATGGGAAGTATATAACAAGGAATAAGAATGCCTTCTCTTAGGCAGAAGGCAATTCTGAGAGGGAAGGATTATTTATTGATCTTTAAATAACTGACAGGAAGACTCTCCCGAGGTCAGATATCAATGAGAATAAAGCTTCAAGGCACTGCTGGTGGAAAAATGGTGGCATTGGCTTGATGGGCAATTGGCAGGAGGGGGCCCTTCACTTGACTGAAATATTTTATTGCTTCTAAGGACTTGCTAAGAATCGGAATCAACTCGACCACATACACAACAAGAGAAACAACAAGTTTAAGGAATGGGTGGACAGAAGGAAGTGAGGAGGGGAGGTGCATAGGTGAACTTGCTAAGTAAAAGGAGCACACAGAGCTTGTATTTTGAGATGAAGCTGTTGGTTATGGCTGAGTTTTGGCTGACTCCTACGTGGCTGGAAAAATGTGTCTGTGAAGGGAGGAACAGAGTGGGGAAAAGAGCAACTGAAGAGACAAAGATTGACCACAACTGAAGTGACTCATTCCAAACAATGAAAGACCCTCAGGATGTAATCTACATTTTTTCTTGTAAGCTAACTTGGTTAACTCTGATAGAGTGTTGTCATTTATTTTAAAGATAAGGAAACTGAACTCACTCGTGTAAAAGATTCAGACTGGTCACTTTTTCAGAATGAAAATTCTTACCATTTAGGCAGTCCTCCAGATTATAGGATTCATACGAAAGCAGCTACAGAAAACTTACATCTGTATAAATAGCAGTGCTCCCAAGGGGGATAATATTTCATTTGTATTGAGATAATGTTTTAATTCTCTCTTAATAATTTAACATATTAAGTATTAATATTTCATATCAGATATAAGATATAATTTCTCCTGTATTCCATCTGAAAGCAATACTTCTTTCTGGTACAGTTAATTATTGTTTTCTTAAATCATAGATCAATTTCTTCCTTGCGTTGAGAATCAGTTAAGCTGTATTATATGATATTTTATGCCAATAGCATTACTACTTTAGTATTTATTAACTTACTAAGATAACCTGACATCCTGGAAATGTTTCAAAGAGTAATTAAATGTCTAATACTTTTCACCAAGTTTGCTTCATTAATTTCACTTGATGTGCATACTTCTGGGTTTTATTATGGATAAAGAAAAGGAAATGCAAAGGTCACACTGGCTTTTTCGAAGGACCCTCTGCTCTAAATGAGGGTGTGTGGATTTAAATATGAGTTCTCTGTTCTTTACTTTTCTGGAGTCTCTCTCTACTCACCCCTATAGTTCTGAAACAATCTTCCTGTGTATTTATTTAAGATGAGATAAGAGCCCGATTTTAGACTACATGGGCCAAATTTCAAATGAATTAAAAAATAATAAACATCAGTGCTAATCTAATATTTTCAGAAATCATGTTTGAAGCATAATAATCATGTCATACTTCATGGCCAGGCTAATGCCCACTAGATATTTTTTTCCCTTCTCTTTTTTAAAGTTTCAAATCATATATCAAAAAAATATGAAAAAAAAAGTTTGTGCATACATAAGTTCAGGGTAACTGGATTGTGCCTTTGGTAAGCTCCATTATATCCTTGATCTGTGTGTGTGTGTGTGTGTGTGCATGTATGTAAATGTGAAAATGCTCTCAAGTGTGTCTGTTAACCTTTAAAGACAAACTGTAAGCTGAACCATTACAAGCAAGGTGTCTGTATCTATTAATCTGAATAGACAACTCCAATAAAACAAAGAAGCAGGCCCTAATGGAGCTAAATACACCATGAGAAGAGTGAGACACGAGAGTGAGAGTGAGAATGAGTGAGTGAGTGAGAGAGAGAGACAGAAAGAGGGAAAGCATGCAAACCCTATCAGCTAGGAAGTAATACACTGGGGAAAAGTATTGGGTCTCATGGAAATGTCAGTCATTCATGGGGTAAAATTCAAAAGCCACTGGCCCCACTGAAAGCTTCCAGCAGAGACATACATGTCTTTTGCTTTATTTCATTTAAAGACTTTGCTTTATTTCATTCAATATTATAGGCACCATCATAGTTTTTATGATGTGTTGCTTTCTCACTTAAAAGTGATATGGGAAATATTCTGCTAATCAAACTAAATATTTAAGTAGTCTTGAATCACTATTATCATGCAAAATAGGCAATATGATTTTGGTCTCATAAAACATGCGTTGAGTATTTAATGGGTGAATGATAACAAAAGGCAACTCTTTTTCCTAATTTTTATGGTAACAGCATTTAAGCAGATTAGTTTATAGTAATTTTTTTTTTCATACATACCAACTCTTCATTCTGATTTGCTGAAAGACTGCAATTAAACGTGAGCTGACTTACACAGACCACGAATCTGTCAGGGAACACACAGAGTTCTGTACAAAATGAAGAAAATCAAGTTATTAAAGACATCAAAAACCTATGCATCTTTATACAGATTACTTGGTTCCAGATTTTTTGCTTAAGTTACAGCTGTATGTATGTATGTGTAAGACATATGTCTTTACTCCCCTTCCTTCCTTTCAGTGTTTGCCATCAATGGCGCAGGGCAAGTGAAAAGCTCTAGGGAGCACTGAGGAGGCTGCAAATTGGTCCACCTGAGCCCCTGGACCAATATATCACTTGAAACCCCGAGGCAGGGCCTTTGCAGCCTCCCCTCTGTGTCAGTTTGCTGTTTTCAGTTCAGAACTCACATTTGGGAAATAGGGTCAACATTTTCTAATGAATGTGCAGCCTTATATACGGGGAGGAAGAATATTAGGGAATATCTGCAAATGTGACTTGTCAACATTCTTATTAGTTTACTTATCACCTTCTTGGTCAGCTAGTCTTAGAGAGGTCACTTAAATTGGAGGGGAAATTCCTAACCTGAATCCAGCTGCTCAGTTTCTCTTAATAGTTTATGATTAAACTAATAAAGAAATTGTTACATATGCAATAGTACAGATAACAAACAAACAAACAGAAAAACTAACTGGCACCGAATTGATTCTGACTCATAGAGACCCCACTGGGTTTCCAAGGTTATAATCTTCACAGAAACAGATTGCCCCATCTTTCTTCCACAGAGTGGTTGGTGGCTTTGAACCATGGACTTTTTGTTTAACAGGCAAATGTCTTAACTACTACATCACCAGGGCTCTTTAGTATAGATGATACTACATCATAATTACAGTAATCTGTTATTACAATGTGCTCTCTTCGGCAGCACATGTACTAAAAAATTGGGACGATACAGAGATTAGCATGGCCCTTGAGCAAGGATGACATGCAAATTTTGAAGCATTCCATATTTTATTGGAGTTCTGGTAGCACAGTACCTGAGGCATCTGACCACTAACCAGAATGTTGGTGGTTCAAACCCACCAGCCACTCCGTGGAAGCAAGACTGGGCAAACTACTTCCATAAAGCTTCACCACTTCGGAAACCCAGCAGGGGGCGCTATGAGTCGGAATCAACTCGCTGGCAGTGTTTTTTTTTTTTTTTTTTTTTGGTGTTGGTATTATTACAACTACTTAAAGCAAAACCACTGACTTCTGGGTGGAAAGGCTGAATGAATCAGATTCGGATTCCCCAACATTGAATGAAAGAACACAAAGTGGTAAATGCCATTTGTAACTCTCCTTCTCTCACTTGTCTATTCATCCATCCATTCATTCACTCAGCTTCCATTCATCCCTGGAGTGATGTTTAGCTGAAGCTTACAATGTATACTCTGGTGGGTAGAGAGGGTCATCTTCTCCCTTCTTTATACTTGGCTGTATTACTTGAACATTTTTATTATGCACATGTATCTTATTTATGATAGAAATAAAGTCACTTTTCTAAAACAAAAAATGTCACTTCTTACATGTGATTAATTTTTTTAAGACAGATATTATAAATCAGATAAATGAAGACTTTTATATGTATTAGACATTTATAGTCAGCAAACTGAGCCATAGAGTTCACTATTTGCCAAAAGAAAAATTATAAAACAGTATAGTTCAGTAATGCTTCAGAATTAGAATTCAAAATCATCAGTTATGCCAAATAATTCCTTCTGTTTGTGCTCCCATGTTCTCCACTAAAAGATACAGATGCTAGAATAGAAGATTTTTAAGTATTTTGATGCCAGCTAATGAATAAACAGTAATCAGCCCCTACACCCCTTTACTTTGCTTAGGTCATATTTTGAGTTATATTATTTTAATATTTAAGTAAAGTAAAGATTTAGCCAGTCCCTATCTAGAAGAGTGAGGGCAGTGGTGAGTCAGTGGTAGAATTCTCACCTTCTGTATAGAAGACCTGGGTTTGATTTGTGGCCAATGCACCTGGAGTGTAGCCACACCACTCTTCTCTCAGTGGAGACTCGTGTGTTGCTAGGAGGTTGAACAAGTTTCAGAGGAGCTTTTAGACTAACACTAACTTGGAAGAAAGGCCAGGCAATTTACTTCTAAACATTAGCCAATGAAGTCTTTATGGAACACAATGGTCTGATCATGGGGGTCACCATGAACTAAGGGCTGGCTAGATGGCAGCTAACAACTCCAACATAGTGAAGGGTAGCATTTGAACAGATACACTATTAACTTACTTATTTCACTAAAAGAGCTAAACAAAATACAAGGCCCTGTTAAGACATCAATATATTCAAGCAACACTTAAAATTAAGAAAACATCGATAATCATAAAGATTCCAAGAGCAAACCTCTGTACAATTATTTGATAATTCCCTGTTCCATATCATATATATTGAAATAGTTCAAGGAACTTGAGATGAAGTTTCCTTCCAGTGCTCAGGTCAACTCAGAGAATGGTCAGTAGTGTCTCACTTTATTGTTAGCTGCATGTGTTTGACATCATTTCCTCAGTAAACATCTTGACTTGGGGAGATGAAGGGGGAGAGCTAGCCCCATGACACACCTCAGGAAGGCTTTGTAGGCTCAGGCTGTGAGTGTGCTTTCTCGTGCATACACTTGCTCCATATCACAGTGCCACAGTGTGTGCAGACAATGAAAAAGTGATTCAAGTTCAACTGTTTGTTGAGTTACTCTGGAGACTCAACCGAAGTGTTAAGATGCATCAGGAAAGTAAAGCACAGTGTGGCTCAGCTCACTGTTCTCATATAGGCAGTGAACACAGTGATATTAAAAAAACAAAAACAAAAACAAGTATTTGGCAACACTCTTAATTACTACTTCAATTTCATGAAAGCAAAGAAGCAAGTAGGAATCTTCATTCTTCAATTTTTACCTCTAGGGTAAGCTGATTGTGCAAAATGCCTGATGATACAAGAAACCCATTTCTTACCAGTACTTGGTGAGCCCCTGATGCAGCGAAGGCGTACTCCTCTCTTGATGAAGTAGGCTGTGATCTGAAAGCCGTAACCTGTGACATTAAAGAAGACATCATTAGATTGTAAGCTTGTTTGTCACTGAATCCCAGGGGTCCAGCCCTGCGCCTGTCACACAATATGCATTCAATACTTATTTAAAAAATGAAGAACAAAGCAATCAATCGAGGGCCTCACTTGAGAGAAAGGGGTGAATATCACAATCTTAGCTCTTTCAGGAGACCTGGCCATAACACCTGGGACACTTCTCACTTCTGTTACTGATTAGCTCACAGAAAACATTATTTAAAACCTATTTAACGATAGTTGTATTTTGTCTGTAGATGGGTTAGTTTAATTTCTACAGAAGTAGATTGCCCAGTCTTCCTTCCAAGGAGTGGTTGGTGGTCAGTCTTCTTTCCAAGGAGTGGCTGGTGGATTTGAACCACCAGCTTTCTGGATAGCAGTCAAATGCCTTAGGCACTATGCCACCAGAGCTCCCTTTCAAATACAACACAGCCTTTATATTGAATGAGATAAAAAGAAACATGACATAAGTCAAAACAATTCTCCAACTCACCAGAATGGTCTAAATGAAAAAGACAGAGTACCAAGTGTTGGCAAGAACATAGAACAACTGGAATTCTCATATACTGCAGGTGCGAGTGCAAACTGCTACAGCCACCTTGGAAAAATGTTTGAGTATCTACTAAAGCTGAAGGTAAGCATCAACACACAGTGTTCATAACAGCACTCTTCATAACACTCCCAAATTGGAACCAATACAAATATCTATCAATAGAAATTTTTGAAATTTTGTGATACAGTCACACAGTGGAATTACAGTGCCCTCTGAAAATGAATGACCTACAACTACAGGTAACAACAAAAACTAAATCTTAAAAACATAATGTCAAGCAAAAGAAGTTTGGCCTAAAGAAAGATATCCCATCTGTGAAAATGTGGATATTATCATTATCATTCATCTTACAGGTGGTGGAAGAATTTTCAAATGATTCATGAAAAGTACTAGCATAGTTCCTTCCTCACTCCCCACCTCCCCCCCATCTCTACCATAAGTGACTCTGTAGATTATTTTCCTGGGATCCAGTAAAATTGTACCCAGTTAACAGTCAAGTACGTAGCGGAAGAATCTGAAATGGAAGGTCCACCAGAGTAGTGAGAGTCACCAAGTTCTAACACAATCTCAGAAAATTCTAGCCTCTCTCTGCAAGACAGTCTTTTATCCATGAACGTGGAAGGGCAAAGGGCTGCAAGAGGTGGTCCCCAGGACCATCAGACTCTCCAAAGTTCATGATTATTTTATGAACTTGTGCTTATTTATGACATGACTTGGATACAAAGAAGTTTCCACTTTTACATTCAGTACCCTGACACACCTATAGAAAAAGATCTAGGACATCAGTAAGCACACACTTGAGTAAGTTGACAGCACAATTGCTTTAGTCATTGGGATTGTGAAATAACAGTGACATCTTTGAAAAGGTAATCTCCAGATTTACTGAGATGAATGACATTTTTTCTTAATATACATGAAAATGGGTTATATTTTGGTCACACAGCTTTCTTCTGTTTAAAATGTCAAACAAAATGTGTACAGCATTGGCATTATTCTGACTGCTGTAAAACAAATACTTCATTTCTGAGGTCACTGTGAAAGAGGAAGTTACTTCCTCATCTGTTCATTTGTTCTACTGCTGGGGTGGGGAGCTTGTAAGAGAGGGGTCCTTAAAAGTTTGGGACTTACAAACAGACAGCGAGATTTAAAAAAGGTTTTTAAAGGAATGATTTACAATTTTAGTCTTCCAAAGGCGTGAAGAAAAAATTCACAATTTCTAACTAAGTCATTCTACCTTTGCAGTGCATGACACCTAAGTTTATGGCTCTAGGTGATGGAGATTAAGATGGTATGTTCAAATTTCTTTTAAAAATCTTCTTCCTATACAAAATCTATAGAGATGAAATGTTATTATCAGGAAGGGGCAAAATCTGACATCTACTAGGAAAGCTACAGACCTGAGTTCAGAACCTAGTACCGGGAGATACCCTTTGAGTAATATCTAAATCCTGCTTGGTCTGCTAAACAATGAAATCTCAATATGATACCTTCTCCTACAGAAAAAAAAAAAAAATGAAGCAGTATAAGGCAAATGCTAACTAAGTGGTTTATTATTTAAATTACTAGAGAAACTGAGTTTATTTGTTCTGCTCTATCTCCTAACTTTGGGATAAGGTTATGTTAAAAAGAATTGTTTCTAAGCTGAAGTCTTCTTACTGGCAGTTTCAATGGATTAACCTTGCCTAACAGCACCTGCAGGAGAAATGGCAAATATAATGTGTAAAAAAAAGTTGCACCTGCTTAGTCCAAATCCTACTAGTCATGTGAAATGTTACTGTTTAAAGACAAACTTGAAGAGAGATTAAACACAACGGTACTTGTATCAGTACTTAGGGCAAATTAATGTTGATATATAAACAGAGAAGATTACTGCTTGGTGAAACATCCTGACCTGCAATGCTCACAGAGATGTATTTCATTTATTCACAGATAACAAGCAGTGATAAAGACTACATTCTTTTCTTTGCCCTTAATAAAATCAACTGTAAAGTTCAGCAGGCCACTGAGATTCTGTTCTTGGCCAGGGGGAAAGCAATGCTCCACTACTTGCTAATGCTAAACAGCAGTTTGGCAAAGACTCCAGGAGGCCCTTTGCTTTCTCTACTCGGAGCACTGGCTCCCAGTTTGGTATACTGGTGCTCCAAATTCATACAACTGGAGTCAATAAGAGATCAGAGGGAAAAAGGTAAAATGGAAATCATGGTATGATAACCTTTTCCTCTGAAAAAACAGACAAAGGTATTTTGAGATTATGAATCACTTGTAAATCACATTTAAGGTCATCTATCTGCCTTCTTGCTAGCTATTGTGGTCCTCCTAAACTTGAGAAAATTGTCATTAGATATAGGAATTGACTGAGATTTAAGTGTGGATGGTTTCATAATGGGAGCATCTTTCCACTAGGAGTCTTCAAGCACATGTATTTCTAGAGATAAAATATTTCTGAATTGCCTAATGTCACGCAGCTGCTCAAACCAGCAGAAGTTCTCCCCCCTGGCCTCTAAGCAGCAGCCAGGCTGCCTCTGTGTCCTGTACTTTGTAAAAAGCTGCTGTGTGTCTAGCCACTATTTCACTTACAACTCTCATCCTCCAGTGAAGTCCAAAATGACGACATATGCTTTCTTCTAGTTCACAAAAGTACATCAAGTCTCCAAGAAAAAAAAAAAAAAAAAAAAAGAGGAGGCGAGTCAGTAATGTTTATGAGACAGAAACAAAGTGTGGCTGGTGTTTTAAGAACAAACCAGAGTTCTGGTAATATGTTATTTTATAATCTGTCCAGAATCAACTGTTCAAAAATGGCTTTACTAGAAATTCAGAGTTTTTATGAATAGAAAGGCAAATGTAACAACAAAAAAATCAAATATAAGTTGACAAAATTCCGTCCTGGCTTAGCAAGGCAGTAGATTCATTTTAAGTAGTACTGTGCTCCAATGAGTAATGTGATTTAAGGGAGTGGTCATTTACTTGGGTTGTTACATTTCATAGTCCCAGGACACTGAGAGCAAATATCTGACATGGAGTTTTTACTGTAAAACTATCCAGCCTCATTTGTTTTCCAGTGGACTCGGAGCCAAGGGGACTTGAGCTTCCTTGAAGCTGCCAAGGGGAGTCTGTGGTACAGTGAATAACAGTGGGAAGCCCCATCCCATGGCTATTAGGAGACCATTCACACCATTCACTGGGGAGTCTGTGAAAAGGCCTGTGTGGCCTGCTGAGCCATCAGGGAAGCCCTGGCAGGTGAGTACCTCTTACTCTGCGGGCCCCACCCACCATCTGCATGGCTCTCCTCCAGCAATGTTTCCTTCCAAACCATAAGGCAGGCTCTGAAACCTACTGGGCCCCTAAATACCTCTCTCTCTAAGATGACTTCTTCATTAGCATCATCACTCATGCAACTATGAAAAAGCTCACTCAGAAGAGAAGACAAAGTGTGGCACAAACACCTAAAAACCTACCCTCTATCTTCAACAATGCTTAATATTCTGCCATATTTCATCAACGTATTTGCTAAACCATTTCAAAATAAATTAGACATTACACTTTATTCCTAACTATATTAGCATATACTCCCAAGCAACAAGAACATTCTCCTACATCATCAAAATAACTTTTATTGCAACTAATGAACCTGACATTACAGCTCAAACAACCAGTCCATATTCAAACTTCTCCAAATGTCCCCAAGTGTATATCAATGTTATTCCCCCCTGAACTAGGATCCAACTAAAGATCATACATTGTATCTGGTTATGTCTAAATATCTCTTAATCTAGAACAATCTTCAACCTTCATCACTCTTAAGTTTTTGAAAAGATTAGGATAGTTGTCTTGCAGAACAACCTCTATTCTGGACAGAAACTTTAAAAACTAAACAAAACAAAACAAAAACCCCATATTTCAGTTGCATAAATACAAATTTTCTACCTGTATGCTTTTTTAGAATGCTGCTGCTGTTGCTGTTGTTATATATATACCGTCAAGTCGCCCCGACTCATAGCAACCCCTTCTTGGGTTTCCGAGGCTGTATCTCTACCGATGTAGATTGCCCAACCTTCCTTCTGAGGAGTGGCTGGTGGGTTTAAACTACCAGCCTTCTGGTTAGCAGTCAAGTGCCTTAGGCACTATACTACCAGAGCTCCTATTTATTAATTCTGACTTTTCCTTTAACTGCTGGAGAAAATTATAGGTTCAAAATAAAAGTGTAATTACTATACACAGATAACTTGAAGATTTAATACTAAAGATAATTTTAAAGAAATAAAATCTTAAATTTGTAGAAACTTAAAATTTTAGTAAAGGTTAGCTTACCTAACCAGGTTGGTGGTGGTGTTATGTGCCGTCGAGTCGGACCCGACTCATAGCGACCCCTCCTTGGGTTTCCGAGGCAGTATCACTACGGAAGTAGATTGCCCCATC